GGGGCTAGCAGGATTGCTGTACGGCTGTGGAGAGCAACATAAGCTTAAGGATATCATACTGGTACATTTTTCATGACACATAAGAGGACTGGTGAAAGTTTAGGAGATACAGCATCTGGAGTGAACTGTCTGGGAGAAACAAGGCTTCCTGAATTTTGTATCCTTTAAGGAAAATACCTGCTGGAGTACCACTGCTGAAAAACTGCAAGTCCTAGTGTAAGCAATCTTTGTCTCAGTTTCGGCATCAGAGGGTCAAAAAGAAGAGTAGTTCCTCAGCCCTGAAACCCTGTAGTGTCCTAAGGTCAAAGCAGATTCATTCAATGCTTTGCCCAATTCAATGATTGCATTGCTATCTAGTGATAGTGCTGAACGTGTGTACTAGGGAGCATGGAGCCTGTTTAGGGACAGGTGAGCAGTGGTGCATCCAAGCTTCAATGCCTCTGGCCTGTGTTTTTGCCAGCCCTTCCTTCCATGGCTTTGTCATGCCTGCAGGAAGCACTGCCCAGACTACAGCGTAGCACACAGTGATGGCAGAGTGTTGTAACAGCCATCTCCATGATTCTAGAACAGATAGTTCGATTTCTAATCCAATTTATAGTGAAGTTTAAGGAAAGAAGTGGAATACATAAACTGTTTGACAGGCATTGGTCCTTTGTCCAGTAACTTCTTTACAAAGCTAAAAAACTTGTGTTTGGCTTACACACCCCTTACAGGCAGGTACCCTGTCTCTGCCAAGTGATGAGAACCCACCATTGGCCTTGGTAGTTTGGTCCAGTGGTGATTTGCATCTGTTGTGAAATCTTTGCATTTAATTTATAATCCCAGGTTATATTTCTTGATTTTAATATGTTTTGCAGTCAGCAAATGATAGACAACAATTCCATGATAAGAAGACCTAATGTTTTTTTGGCATCCTCATCTGAAAAAAGAGTGCAGAAAACTAATGAGATTTCTGACAACCTTCCAAAGACAACTGTATTTACACAGAGCCTGAGCCCAGAAAATGCACCCTAAAAGTGAGAAGAGCAGGAAAACAGACCAGAACAAACAAACAAGCAAACCCCAGAAAAATAAAAGACAGACAAAACCAGATTGCACTTAACAAAACCAAATTATTGCCTGTCACAAACAGAGTGTATTTCTATATGTGGCTAAGATTTAAAATTGTTTAGCTGCATTTTACTTCTAATTTTATTAGATTCTCTATTTTGCTTTTGCTGTGTGGTTTCTTTTCCTTCCTCTATGTGATATTCTGTGAAGAGAGGTTGCTGTGGTACTGGCAATACTGGCGGAGGGACTGTAATTAGAAGCATAGCATAATAATTATTAGCAGAGGATTTCCATGGAAACTTTAGTTCAAGGAAGCAAAACTCAAAAGCAAGAATATGCAGATCCAACAACATAATTGGTATTTGAAATTTCAAATACAGAAATGGATTTTGTAAAATATCTAGTGTGCAATTTTCCTTTCCATCTCTCTTCCTATCCAGTTTTCATGGTCCTCATGCCTTTCACTGCTCTAGCTTTTGAAAATCAGAAGCCTATAGCAACTAAAAAATTTGGTGATTAGCAATACAGAGCTTTCATTTGCTGTGCCACAAAACTGCAGCAAATGAAATGGGCACAGAACTGTAAAGAAGCCCCCCTGGAAGCTGAGAATAAAAGAAGGTTGGGCCCTGTCTTCTTGACCATCACGAAAGAAATAATTTGAAAAAGCGTGCTTTAATAGTTTACGCTGGAAGTAAAAACGTGACCACTGATCACAGTGGCTATGTCAGTGGTCACCCATTCAGGCACCCAGAAATTTGGAAGTGTTGTCCATTAATTTTGTCAGCATTTTGTTGGCATCAGGAAGACCTTCTGTAACAGGGCTTGATAAAGTGGATGTTGGTGAAACAGCAGCATACTGCTGTGTAAAGAGGAAAACAGTGAAGAAAACTGGCTTCAGTAACCACAGATTTTGACAATATGAAGACCTTTTCTGTACTCATGCTGAATTTAGAATCAATGCAAGGAAAACTGGCATCTCAACTGTATCTTAGACCAAAAGATGGAAATGTTTTTAGGGGGAAAGCAACTACTAGCTGTTCATGCTATAAAACTACAAGAGGTTTAGACATAAGTGAGATGAACTTTGGACTGCTTTGCCTGTCTTCTCTAGAGACACCTGGATCTGTCAGTAAAATAACCTCAGACAGAGACTGATATGCAGCAGCATATCTTATGTAAAAGGAAGTAGGCTAGATAGGAATGCCATTATTAGGGCACAGCAGTAAAAACCATGAATTAAGAACTGTGTATACAATTTGCATTTACTATTGTCGTGATCAGTTGTCAGTATCATCAGTACCCTGCTGTTGTCACATTCCATCTTCCTGAGGCTGATGTAAATTATCAGTTTTGGCTCACCTTACAAATGAACTCTTAACCCAAGTATAAAGTAGTAAGGCAAATCTTTGTTACAATCAGATCAGTAAAATTCTTTCACACCTTGTTGTTTTCTTCTTTCAGGAAAACATGCTGGAAAATACTGCAGGTTTTGTTTGCTTATCCATAAAGCTGTGGCATGTCTCCATCATTCTGAATGCAGTTAATCTCCACATATCTTCCAACTCCTTCCCTCCAATCTCTCAGGGCTGGCTTTTTGCCCTCCTTTCTCTAGTGTAAATGTCAGCATCCGGTTTGCTTATTGAGACTGACTGGCTCCTATCCAGTATGTATGTGGTTGATGGCAGCAGTGGAAAAATGTTCTTAGCTTTCAGCTTGGCAAAATGTTTTGCCACTGACTTTTTAAGATCTGGCCTTACTTTGTAAAGACTTCATTCTTCTTAGAATTTTGACAGATGATCTTTTATTACTGTGAACTATGAAGTGTGATAAATTATCTGCTGAACTTCTGAATATCTCCTATTTTCAACAGCTAACTAAAGTACTCCATATTCTCTGGTCTATCATATTCAACAGAAATATTGTGGAATATGTCTGGTTTCACTTCCTCCAAAATAGCATCACTACTGAGATTGGCCCCTGTGAATGTAATCAGTTGCGTATTGATTCCTAACAATGACTGGTCCAAGAAAACATCCATAAACATTTACTCACCTATTTAAAATCAAGCAACATTCCCTGTTTCGTATGTAAACATGTTCAATTGTTGTTTTTTGTGCTAAAGTCCACAGTCTCCTGCCCAAACTTACTGCTGCAGCTCATCTCACAAATACATGCAGAACTACATTGGAAAAGAGCAAGCATTGGTGCAGGCCTGCAGAGGCTCATCAAATGTGTCAGCTGGCCAAGAATTCAGTCCTGCTGCATCGTGCGCTTTCCACGTTCCTTTGAAAGTTGCTCAGCATGGCGAATTTCTTGATATGAATAATTTGATGAGTACTTTTACAAACAATTAACTCAGCTTTCAAAGTGCTTCAATGCGCCATGTGGTCTTGCATCACCCTGGTGTTTTGAAACATTGCCATCTTGAGGACATTTGTGGTGTACATGGCATATGAATGAAACAAGCTGAAACTGTTAGAAAATTTTGGGCAGTTTCATGTAAACTGTAGACACAGCCTAACTGCTACTAAATCCAGCAATCCCAGGGTAATTGATAGCCTAATAGTAGTGACAGAAGAGGGGTAATACATCTATGTCACTTATACTAAATACTATTACATCATTCACAATAATTTTACAACTATAGAATAATGTTTTGAGATTGCATAAACCCTTAGAACAAAAGAGTGGAAGGCTTCAACAGGTGTGGACTGTGTCTGCTCTGGAATCACAGAATGGTTGAGATAGGAACGGACCTCTGGAGTCCATCTTGTCCACCTCCCCTGTTCAAACAGGGCCACCCAGAGACAGTTATCCAAGACCACGTCCTCTTGGCTTTTGAATTTCTCCAGGGAGGGAGATTCTCCAGCCTCTCTGGACAACCTGTGCCAGTGCTCGATCACACTCACGGTAGAAAAGTGTTTCCTGATGTTCAGATGGAACCTCCTGTGTTTCAGTTTGTGCACATTGCCTCTGGGCCTGTTGCTGGGCACCTGTGAAAAGAGCCTGGCTCCATCCTCTTTGCATCCTCCCTTCAGGTGTTTGTACACATCAGTAAGATCCTACCACTTCACCCCCTAACTCCCCAAGACTTCTCCAGGCTGAACAGCTCCCAGCTCTCTCAGCTTTTCCTCACAGGAGAAAGAGTCCCCTAATAATCTTTATGGCACTTTGCTGTACCTTCTCCCACAAGTCCACATCTTTTTTGTGCTGAGGAATTCAGCATTGGACGCAGTACTGCAGGTGTGGCGTCACCAGTGCTTAGCAGAGGGGAAGGATCACGTCCCTTGATCTTCTGACAATACTTTGCCTAATGCAGCTTGGGACACCATGAACCTTCCTTGCCACAAGACTTGTGTTCACTACTGACTTGTGTTCAGCCAGGTGTCTGCAGCGCCCTCAGGTCCTTTCCTGTAAAGTTTCTCTTAAGGCACTCATTTTATAATGTGTGACTTCATAACCCACCCTCAGATGCCTCAGATTGGATATACATTTGCTGCAGTTAGTTGCAAAGAAAGTAAAAACTGTATTACTGATGACAGAATGAAGGTTGACAACAGAGGGTTAGAGGATGCGCCATCATTTATACTTGAAAAATAGCTCAAACTATGTGGATATTGAAGGTTTTCTATAATCTCTGGTTCCCTATGTGTACGCATGTATGCATAAATTATATAAAGCTGTTAAAAGAATATAACATAAGAAAATTACATTAAAATAATGCTGTAAATCAGGATTCTTTTTGTAGCCTTTGTATTTTTGTATTACAGAATCATTTTTAGCAAAATACTACTCTTTTTTGTTTTTCTGAGACTGAGTTTGAAATTTTTTTAGGCCATCCACTCAAGAAGCATGCCTATGAATTCCTTTCAGCCAAACCTAGAGAAAGGCAAACATACAGCCTACAAAACAACCAAACAAAAAAACCACCATAAACCACCTGTTACTTAGATTTGAATATTAGTCTTTCTAGAAACCCAGGGGTCTCATGTCCAATATCTTCCCAAGTAAGAGAAGTTGCTTTTATTGATGGTCATCATTATATACTGAGATTGTCTCATTCATGATACTGATTTTTTAATGAAAACTTGTAACATCTAAAGGGAATCAGACCTGTTCTCAGGATGCAGCTGGGTGTGTCTCCAGACCAGGCCCCCGTCACTTGGCAAATTATTTCCTTTGATCCAGTCAGTTCATAGCCCTGATTGCAGATGAAACTGATGGTTGAGCCCAGCAGGTAGTTAGTTCCATTCTTTCTTCCATTGGCTGGATGATTCAGCCAGCCACAAGAGACCACTAGTAAAAGAGACATATCTGGTTAAAGTATTTTGGATTTGGATTAGCAAATCTCCATCACAATGATTCAAATGGCATTTTAGTGGCAACTCAGGAAAAGACAAAGGCTTTTAGGCTAACTGAAAGATAATATTTTCTGGGTTTGCTTTTCTCTTTTTTTTTTTTTTTTAATTTGTAAGTCATGGGAAGAGAGGTGAAGGCACAGAAAATGAAGATAAGGGTTCTACACAGTGGTGTAGTAGTGGAAAAAAGGGAAATAAATTTAATTTATTTTACATTTGTCTAATTATCCTACCAGTGCAGAGTTTTCCTGCTACTGAGTTTTCCTCTCAAGAAGAAGTGTTTACAGGTTTGTGAACCTGCAGTTAAGCAAAGACTTGTCAAACTGTGTTAACTATTCAGATGCCCTGTAGAAAGAACTGTAGTGATGGATGCTTTGCGGAATGTTCTATCACCTGGCTCTAGATTTTCTACCAACAGCTTGTGATTCTGATGAGATAGTCTTGTGGAATTTCCCACTTGAAGACTTCGGGTTGTCAGGACATCGAATCTGCAGAATGGGTCAGAGTCACAGAGCAAGACCATCTCTTTCACCAGAGGATCAGCAGGGTCTTCATAAGGAAAGAACACGGGCAGAAAGGAAGCGTTGTGCTTTTCCCCATAAAAGAAATTGTTCAGTAAGAACTCTGTGTCATAAGTGAAGAGAGAAGTTCCATTTTCAACAGCCCCTTGGGAGATGGAGAAAGAAAGACAGAGGGAGATTCATATGTAACATTGCCTACAGACTTATACCACCTGCTGCTGCTAATTGAAGTGCTTAGTTACATAAATGTGGCTAGAACTGGAAGAGATCTACAAAGCCCTGCAGCTTACTTCCAGCTCAAGATTATTTCCCTTTCATAGGCATTATCTTACCTTAGCACTAAAGTTTGTGTTTGGTTTCTGACCAGGTGTTTGATCAGTTATGTAAATTAGATCCCAATAATTGTGTAGCTGTGCTTTTACATAAAGATGGTTCTAGATGCCTGCTAGCAAAATAGAGTTAAAGAAGAACCTCAGACAGAGCTAGCCAAAACAAAGATTACAAGCAACACAGATCCTGATCCTGCATGACTGACATGCTGGGGTCTGAACCCCGAGCCCCCAAATTAAGGGTGACAGATGGGTGATTCCCACAGCCCTTCATCCAGAGGGGTGAGTTTGCCTTAGAGCTGCCCCCCAGGGTGCGGCCGGCCCTGCAGGGAGAGCCCGAAGGGAAATGAGCCCCAGGGGGCCTGCATTGAGTTGACAAAGGTCAGGTGTCTGCTTGGGGATAAAAGCTGGGACCACTGGCAGGGAGTCAGGAGTGTCTGTCTGTGGAGTGCACTCCCCAGAGCTGCCTGGTTCAGGGCAGCCCTCCTGACTCTCCTGGAGCTGGGCCCCAGTCTGCTCAAGACCTTTGCGAGTGCGGGCGGATCAGGTGAGAGTCGCCATGTGGGCACCTTTCTTTTATATATTTAACTTGCTGGTCTGGCTGTTTCCCATGGCAACTGTGGGCAACCTCGGGTCTCTGTTTGTACCACCTGTTGTGGGCAGAGTCAAGTCTTTTGTGGGATCATTGGGGGTGGTGTCAATTATGTACCAGCTGATTGATCTGTTTGTACCCTCAGCCATCATTCATGGAACGTTCTTTTTGTCTACAATACAGTCTGTGTATTGGTTCATCTTCCTGCTGGCTGTATCATTTCTGTTGGGCCTGGTCATTGGCAGAACAATGACCCTTAATTTTTTTTTTTTTTTTTAAAAGGCCCTGCCTTTTTGAATTTGTGAAGAAAAACACAGAATCACAGAATGTTAAGGGTTGGAAGGGACCTCCAGAGATCATCGAGTCTAACCCCCCTGCCAGAGCAGAACCAGCTAGTCTAGGGCAGGTCACACAGGATCTAGGGCAGTAATAATAGACCAAAGAAATTACTTACAGTTAGCTCCAAACTCAAACAGCTGCTGGGGACTTGCATGAACTGACATGGTGGTTTTATTCTTGAAGGTATACTCATCCTCTATATTGCCATTCATTACCCCAAAGAGACCCTGTGTGTGATTTATAAACTTCTCTGGGAGCAGAACTGTCAGGGTCAGAAATGCCCCATTTCCCCTTATTTCCACTCCAGATCCAGAAGAGAACATCACTGTGATGTTCTGATCAGCTGCAGAATGGAGAAAGAGACCTATAACAAGAGGACATAAGAGCTCATCATCCACAGTGAACAGATTGTTGTGTTAACAGTTTTAACCATTTTTTTTCATAAAGCTTTTCCTCCCTTCCACTTTGGGCTACATTCTTAGAAGCATTTAAAAGGAGGCCACATGTTCATATCTACAACTGCAGCAAGATGACTACTTCAAAGTAGTAGCAAAAAAAGGCCCACAGTTGATATAAGCTGCACTGTGCATCTTCTGCCAGTGTCCCAGAGCAGAAAATTTAAGATATGGGAGGAATACATCAGAGTGGCTGTGAGCTGGAAGCCCTGCTCACAGGTTTCCTCTGCTTCTTTATTGTCTTGTCAAGATCTGCCTAATAGGGCTTCTTCTCCAAACCCCATCATTGTCCCTTTTTTTTTTTTTCTTCATGAAAAAAGGAAAACCTTGGAGCATGAGCATTGAAGCCACCCTTTAAAACACTTCACTGTCATTGACAGGGCTGCATGCTAATTCCTTCATAACCCTCTCACATCCCAGAAAGTTCAGGGAGGCACCAGGTGTCAGTAAAAGCTGTCATTTATGTTATTTGGACATGCTGGGAGAGTAGAAGCTGTCACACTCCATCTTCCTTGACACAGCATATATGCTTACAGTTATGGCTAGGTTAACTGCCAGTAATCTTCATGAGAAGCAGGAAGGTTGCAGGTTCTGATGCACACACCTGAAACATCGCTCCCTGCTACACCTCTCCAGGGGAACACCGACAGCTATGGTGTTCCTCTCTGTAGCACGCTTGATCCATAGCTATTTGGAAGATGTGTAGCCCGTAATTCTGGTGGCTGTATTCCTGCCTATATTGTAGCTGTCATCAGTCTCAGAGGCCAGAGGAATCCATGACATAGGATAGTATAAACACAGGGCCAGGTAGGCAAATTGAATGGTCTCGATTTTATTTTTCACCAAGGCCCATGCCATCTGTGCACCACCACTGATTCTGCCTCAGCAGCAACAGAAGTGAAGACGGTCATGTAATAATAAAATAAATTCTAATGACCTGGGACATTGTCTCTCTTTCACTCATTACATAATTTTTGGAGTGACCTGCAGCCTGTTTCATAAAAGGACAAAAAGGAAAAGAGGGTCAAAATGCATACATGGGCATCACTGGAACACATACTAACTTTGTAACTTTGTTACTAACCTTTCAGGTCCATCCAGCTTTGTTCAGTGAAGTCTACAACCTTCTGGTTCAACAGAACTTCCAGATTAAAATTCTCTGAGTAGCGTACTTCAATCACATCAGAGTCGTTCTCCTGCATGGCTACTGCAGACAAACCTGTCACCTGAGCCCCAGTTCCTTCCAAATAAAAAAACACATTCCCAAAATGTCTAACATGATATAAAGTAAATATGGAAGGTTATAATGCAACAGGCAAACAAACCCCCAGATATTTCATTAAAATAATTAAATATGATTATTTAGATTTGAGGGAATTGCTAAGTATATAAACCACATAAAAACCCACAGTATAAGTCTCCTACCAGTATAGTTCATTGAAAGCAGAATGTTCAGTGCTAAAAAAGTCTGAAAAATCTAAATTCTTCAACCCAATGGCAGGGGCTGAGCTATGTAAGAAGAGCAGCTGATCTCCTTTTCTAAAATTCAGTCTCTGAGTAAGGCCTTGGAAAATTGAAGATAATTTCAGGGAGGGCATGACAGAAAAAAAAGAAACAGTGAACAAAAATTTAAGAAACTCATCTTCAGAAAGAACTGCTCAGTGATTCATGCTACATCTACCACAAACACAATAAAATCTATCATGGGCAAAATATTTTCTTGACAATCTCTGTCCTATCCAATGTGATCTTCAGTATAAACATTCATGTCTATATGGGTGCTGAAACACATAGAGAATTTTTAGTACATCTTTATAATATTCTAATATTATTACCAGAAGTACTAAGTCCATTAAGTGCATCCCTAAGGCCATCTGGAATATTCTTTCCTGAGGCAATTCTTGTATTTTACACACTGTAAAATAGCACTAGGTACAGGAACATCAACAAAAGTATCTGACATAAGACTTCTCAGGTTGTCATGAGAACCATGATCCCATTCTACCATTTCATACTCTATTTTCTCCTCATTTTAAACTGCAGGTATATGACAATCTCCTTATTACAGGCTGATTTGCAATCTGTCCTTTCAAATGATGAAGCTTCTCATCAAAGCTTCTTCTGCCCTAGGTTTCATGGTACAAAAAGGTCAAAAGATCAGGACAATCAGGCTCTTTGAATAAAAAAAAGTCCCCTTTAACCAACTTATCACTAGACATTCTGTACATTCCTGCTAGCTTGAGGTGCTCAGAAAGAAATTTTTCCCCATCCATAATGTTTTCTCAGCTCCTTCTGGAACTTTTTTGCTTAGTCAACACACATGTGCATATACACCTAACACAGGAAGAAAATAAAGGGCATACACTTACCTGCTTTCTATTACTTTTCAGTTACAATACTATGAAAATGCGTCAGCTGGGAGCTACATCTGTTTACTGATTGCCAGAGCTGACCTTTTGTTTCCTTATAGATGGGAATGGGCATGGAGAGAAAAGAGATTTGTTTTCTTGAGCTCTTAAACACAACAAGAAACCTTACACTTCCATCATTTGTACCAAATAGAACTAGCAAATAATCTTTGATTGGGAAGTTGGTTATTTTTTCCTGAACATTTTGTCTGCCTTTTGATTAGGTTCAGAATGTGACCTTTCACAAATGGCTACAAAGGGAGAAGACTAGAGAAGATAGGAGGAATGCTGTAAAGTGCAAATCAAGCTGATCTGTCATCACTGCTTCTTCCCTTACCAACTTACCATTGGGAAAATGTGCCTGCTGTGTCCTCCCTTGCACTCTGAGGGATGTGAGATCAGACTCTACTAATGTGTATTCTCCTTGGCCTTTGAAGGTGAAGTTCAGACCATCAAATGTGAGGAAGTGAGGATCCCCAAAAAGAGATGCTGTTTTTAAAAGCAAAAAGAGAAATAAGAACAAGCAAAAACCAGCCTATTACTCCTCTTCTTAGGCTCAGGAGGGAAAAAAAAAATCTCATTGTGGTTATCCAAAGAAAGGCATTTAAACAAAGGAAAAAATGCAAGGGTGATCCATGGTGAATGAGAAATGAGGAACAATCATATCAGCCTTGAACACAACTGTGGCAACAGTGAGAAATGTCTTTCTAGTTACTCTCATCTTCACTGGCCAACATTCAGGGCTGCACTTTTATGGACTTTTATGTCATGCTTACCCAGATGCCCTACCAAAATCCTTACTCTCAGGCTAGAAGCCTGATTTGCATGTAATTATGAGAAGTTTTAGACACAAATACAGGGCTATTCAGAAGCAGCTCACTAGAGCACTTCCAAATGTAGCTGGAAGTGACAGTCAGAGAAATACAGTGGAACTTTGAAGTCTCATCTGGTCTGAGCAGAGAGAGATGGCAATTATCCTCAGCCCCAGAGCCTCCCTGGAGTTCAGCAGATATCCTTGGCTTTGCCGTTTAGATCAGTAAGAGGTCAGAAGGCCCCTCTCCCCTTTAGCAAAAAAAGCTGAAGTTGTATCATCTTATCTGAGGCATGACTCTCAACACATAAGGACATCCATGTGACAGCAGGTCCTTATCTGCTTGATTGTTAAGTAGTTTGGGATCGTTGATTCTCTCACTCTTGCCCTAGAGGAAGTGTTCATTCCATAAATCAGGTTCATTAGACTAACGGAGAGAAGGCAAATTTATTTTATTTTTTGTCCCCGCACTTGGTGTGTTCACTTAGGATTTTCTGATCAAAATGCACATAGCAAACAAATGTAACAGAAAATCACAGTAAAGAAGGCATGCCCCTGAGTGATAGGCTCAAGAGGTTTCTCTGCATCAGGCAGAGGAGGTGTTTAGGCCCAGCATCCCATATTCTAGGAGAGTTCTGTAAGTAGCAAGGTAGGTGAATTTTCTGTCAGCTGATTTTGCACCATATCTAAACATGCACATTTGGCATGCTCTGAGAAGCTTTTAGCATGAAGATCTTTGCAGAGGGTCCTGTGATATCTGAGCATCAGTTTTTTCAGATGCTTAGGCTTGCACAAGGTCAATGAACACTTGTTCTAGTGTGTGGTAGCAGAGGCAGTTTGGCCTATACTTTCTAGGACAAAGATGAGTGTCTGTAGTGCTTAGTGAGAGCTGCATGATGGATTTTTATCATATTTGAGAGATGGATGTAATAGCATAAGTATGTTTGGGAAACTTTTTGCAAGACCATGTGCTTCTCATCCCTCATCAACACAGCTTTGCTTGAGAGAGGCATGTTGTAGCCTGCCTTTCCCACAGTGGAACTCTCAGGGCCCTGAGCACACTCATGGGCCTTAACCGCACTGACCAGTCTCACTGGGCTCTCTGCCTCTGCTCATGGGGTCTATCTAAACTCAGGCCTGTGCCTTCAGTCCCTATCTGAGCTATGTCATGGGTGTACTTGTCTCCATCTCCAACATAGCCATGCCTGTGCCTGGCCATGTGTCCTGGTTTAAGCTAGAACAGAACTAATTCTGTTCAGTGATTTTAATTTTCAGCTCAGTCTCTTGTAAGCAACTGCACTTTCTGAAGTTAATGGCATATTTTTGCAGACAATGTCTGCTTCTAGGAGCAGTTTACAGTTGCCAGCTAGGACTGGTGTGCAGAAAGGTTCCTGCTTATACTTGCTCCTGTGCAAGTAAAGGTCACTACTAAATCTTCTGTATCATGTTGTGGGCGCAGAAAGTAAAAGACCACATCTGTGGGGAGGAGTGTCCAGGACAGGACAGCTGACCCTAAACTGACCAACAAGGGATTCCATTCCATATACATCATATTCGGTATAAAGCTGAGGGGTAACAGGGGTCAGTCTCTCTTCTTCAAGGGCCAATGTCTGAGGAGGACTCTGTCTGTTCTGCCTTCAATCCTGATATGTGTGTTCCTGAATCCAGTTCCCAGATCCTGAATCCAGTTTCCATCTGCAGGTGAGTCCAGTCTGGGACTTCCCCAGTACCTGCCCACAGCATCAGTGGTGATGGTGATGTAATTGCCATCAGAGGGGCTGAGTTCCTTATTGGTTTTGTATATATTTGTATATATTTCATTTTGTTGTTATTATTTGCATTAAAGCAGTTTCAGTTTTCCAGTCCATAAGCCTCTCTCCCTTACTCCCTTTTGCTTTGCTTTCTGGGAGGGAGAGAGGTTAACAGAGAGCATCTGTCACCTGTTTAGTGGCTGGCCCAGCTCTAACCCCTGACACCATGAACCCTGCTGATCGGCACACAGACCTGTGGCGCACTCTCTGGTTTGTCCTCAGACATGCCGAGTCACTACGGACTGGCTCAACAACTGCTGTGCTCTGTCTCACCCTGGTTACCATCACTAGACCACACCTTTGATACTGATGGACAGACTGACTTCTCAGCTTTCCTTTGGACCTGCATCATCACCACAAACTCATCTGAAGATCTGATTTCTTGCCTGACTGCTGCTGCCATGACTGTGTCTATGCTGCTCAACTCTCTTGGGACTGGGCCATGGGCTGGCAAGGACCTTGCCCTTCCAACCTTATTACCACACTTGCCCCTAATTTTTTTGTTGCTTCTAGGCAGGAAAATTTGATTGGGGAGAGAGTCTCAGCTTATATCACATCACATCACATCACATCACATCACATCACATCACATCACATCACATCAATCACATCACATCACATCCTAAGCTACCTCCTTCAGGCCCTCTGCAGTTTTGTCCTTTTTACCTAAAGCAAACTGCTGCCTCTTTGCATTTTCCTTCTCTACAGGAAGGAAAGAATGCACAATTTTGCTTCCCACCTCAGCATTCCAGTATCATAGAAGGTGGCAAGATATGTGGCAGCAATAGAGATGTGGCAAGGCTTGAGGAATACTTAAAAGCAAGGGACAGGAACAACAGACACACTTGTAAATGGTAAAACTTCCATATTTGATATGAGTAGTATTTTTCAGCATGACAGCTTTTCTAGCTACTGCCAAGCTGTCATTAACCATCTCTAACTATATATTCTTTCTGAGAAATTACCCACTGATGATAGGAAGTCATGGACACTGACTAATAAACTTTGGCTATTTAGGCTCCAGTGGTTAATGAGATACTCAACAGCCGAAAATCTTGCAGGACAGTTTCAAACCACCTACAGATTTTGCCACTGATAGATAAAAAAATCTTCCATGGAAATTTTACACAGGACATTGTACTCTCAATATTGTCAACTGACATACATACATATACAAATATTCTAAAAGACAACATGATACCAAAAAGCTACACTCCATAATGGAATTCTGAAGCCCTTACCAGCTCGAGGTGGGCGATACGTCTTGCAGTCACTGGAGGGTCGCCTTTTCATATAGAAGTGACAATTATCAGACCACAGGCAGCAGTAATAGAAGCTGATGACATCATAAAGCCAATGGGAAAAACCAGGTATTCGGGGAGGCTTCATGAAAGGTGGTGAACCCCAGTCATGGCCTCGATCAGGTGTGCTGCCTCCTGTGGAGTCATGCGTGAGGATCTGAGTCCCTGTGGCATCGTAGCAACACTGCTGTCCTGCTGCATACTGGGGACTGGTTGAGTAAAGCAGTGAGAAGAAAGTCATGGTTCAGCTCTATGAAGTCCATTTGTATTTAGATGTTATCTACTGATTTTTAATAGATATGGCTAAATGTTTTCATTGCCAGATTTTATATGACCCAGGGACGTTACCTCCCAGTCAGACTTCTACTCCTGCCCCTCCTCTGTACGTATAAATTAGGCCAGATCAGGAATGGGGAAGGGAGGGGTTTTTAATAAAGGCAGTAAGGAGGTTTTGAAGGTTTTATAACTACATGGACATAGCACTGTTTAAAATTGTTCTGATAGAAAGAGTGCAAAGAGTAACTTGCTGAACTTGACTAGACCAATACAGGACAGGCTTAAGTAAGCATAATCAAATCCCTTTTAGAAATCAGTACTTGTTTAGGTATCCTAAGGTTCAGCACAGTGCAATTAATTGTTTATTAAAACTAAGGCCTTAAATGCATCTGAAATGTTGGAGTCTGAACCCCGAGCCCCCAAATTAAGGTTGACATATGGGTGATTCCCACAGCCCTTCATCCAGAGGGGTGAGTTTGCCTTAGAGCTTCCCCCCAGGGTGCGGCCGGCCCTGCAGGGAGAGCCAGAAGGGAAATGAGCCCCAGGGGTCCTGCATTGAGTTGACAAAGGTCAGGTGTCTGCTTGGGGATAAAAGCTGGGACCACTTGCAGGGAGTCAGGAGTGTCTGTCTGTGGAGTGCACTCCCCAGAGCTGCCTGGTTCAGGGCAGACCTCCTGACTCTCCTGGAGCTGGGCCCTGGTCTGTTTAGACCTTTGCGAGCGCGGGCGGATCAGGTGAGAGTCGCCATGTGGGCACCTTTTTCTTATATGTTTAACTTGCTGGTCTGGCTGTTTCCCATGGCAACTGTGGGAACCCTTGGTTCACTGTTTGTACCACCTGTTGTGGGCAGAGTCAAGTCTTTTGTGGGATCATTGGGGGTGGTGTCATTAGGTACCAGCTGATTGATCTGTTTGTACCCCCAGTGATCATTCATGGAATGTCCTTCTTGTTTAGAATACAGTCTGTGTATTGGTTCATCTTCCTGCTGGCTGTATCATTTTTGTTTGGCCTGGTCTTTGGCAGAACAGCATCTCAGCAACAAGGACCAATAAATGAATAAGAGGGGAACAACGGTTGCTATGAACCTTAGAGTTGAGAGTCCAGAGACCGCTGTGACTTCTGTGACACTGCTATCTCTGTCATCGAACAAGTTAAAAAAAAAGCAGTTAATTAAAAAAATTTCTTTACCTGGCTTGAATGGCTCTTACACAATGCACAGCACCAGGGTGATAAGTGCACACACTCCCCTTTTCAATGTCACAGCCATAATCTGTCTGAAAAAGATCAATGCTTGTGCTCAATGGAGTTCCTTCCCCACTGTCCTTTCTACTGTTGTGTCCTCTCCCCATCCTTTGTCTCTGACAATGTATGTGTAAAGTGTAAAGTCTAAATGAACTGGTTGGCCTGTGTTTAGTAGCCCAGAATGATAGGAAAACCAGTGAATTTAAGACTGCAGTGATTGAAGCAACATTTGCCTAACCTGAGTATTTTGCAGTCTATTACAACAGAACTTGAAAAGCAGATGCAGCTACACGGGCAATTTAACTATAAGTGCATAACAGACAGATTACACTGGACTAATCTTAACTTTTGTCCTATGTTCTTGGACAGAGGCAGTGCAGTAGATTTTTTTTTCCTTTACATGCTTCTAACTATATAATTTAAAATACACATCATATTTGTAACTTCATAACCGGGAAAGAATAGTAAACAAAAACTTTGTTTTAAAAAAATGTGTATAAACATGCTGCCACCACTTGGTATCATAAATGGGAGAGGAAATTACCCTTTCTGGCCCTCAGATCAGCATAGACTAAATAGTAATTCACTAAATCACCGTGGTTGGAAAAGATCTTTAAGACCATTAAGTCCAACCAGCAATGAACTCTACCAGGTCACTTCTACACCATATCCCTGACCACCTCATCTTAACAGCTTTTAAATACCTCCAGGGATGGTGATTCAGCCACTTCCCTGGGAAGCCTGTTCCAGCCCTTGATAACCCTTTCAGCGCAGACTTCTGTATGATTCGGATTGGACTGCTGACTTGGTTTATTCCTTCCGCCATTACTGGATTCCTAGCTTTGCTTACTCCTTCTTTTGTTACATCATCTAGTATGAGTGAATATATTGATTTGATTGTTCCTCCTGTTGTT